AATGAGGCTGCTTTTAAAATATGAGTTGCCACCCCTTGCCAATGGGCAAACAAACACACCTCATGGGTGGTGGTGTCTTGCATCAGTCGGCAGAGCAGACAGATGACAGTCCTTTCTTCATCCTAGCTTGATGCCAGGGTTGGTGACCAGAGCTATTTCATGCCTAGGGAACATAAAATCCTAACCTTGGACTCTTCTCTTCTTGGGTCCTGAAGGGGAATGACTCTAACGCGGGCCTTACAGACATGGCTTACTGACACTCAAGGAAGAAATGTCTCAGCGTTCTGTAGCAGATGTAGTGATTAACCTGATGTGAACTTCTAGGTACAAATAATATAAGCAAGAAGTTGGAGTAGAATTCCATTCTAAGGCCCTTCTGTCTCTCAAAATGCTTTATTTTGAGAATAGTGTCTCAACTACAGTGCCCAGGCTGGCCTTAAACTTATGTTCCTCCTGCCTCAGCCTCCCAAGTAAAGTATCCGAGAGTATAGGCATGTGCTACCATTCCCATCTCAGAACACGCTTTTTTCTTAGGTTCTCTGGCAGAGGTGCAATAGACCAGGGGTATGGGGCCTGCTATTGTATAACTAGAGTGAGAAACTTAGTATTTCTCAGGCTTTATTATGAATCAGTGAGTACTCAGAAAACAGACTGAATTCAAATTCCACCCACCACTCTAGGTAGCCTGGTCCCGAGGAGGGATTTACTGGCTGCCTCTTACCCCTTGTTCTCTCCAAGAAAGTGAGTTTAATAGTAGTGTGTACCTCAAGGTTGTTGGATACATACGAGGCATTAAGATTAAGAATCGGGGCCTGGTGCAGACAGAGTGCACCAGATGAGCAAAACAGATATAGATATGGAGATGGAGAGATGGTAGGTAGGTAGGTAGATGATGGATGGATGGATGGATGGATGGATAGATAGATAGATAGATAGATAGACAGATAGATAGACAGATGTATATAAAGAGAGAGCTATTTTTTAAAAATCTGGTCATTTCATATGAAAATCCAGCTTTCTGACATTCAAAACTCAGATCTGGCAATTCCAAGCCCAGGTGTCCACATGGCATCTGTGGTAGCGGAGGAACAGCTGCCCCTTTACCAGGACCTATGTCACTGTCTCTCACAGTCCCTCCCAACCCTGCCAATTCACCTGTGCCACCAGCCTGCCCAGGGGTGAAGGTCTAGGCTCAAGACCTAGGAGGAATTTTCCCATCTGCAAAGGATTTTCACCTACCCAGAGAGCTTGGACCTGTAGCCTGACTAGTGGGGTGCAGATGAGGTTGCAGGTAACCCAACCACTCCCTGAGGTCAAATGCAAATTGCTGTGCCTGCTTGGGAAGAGAATCCACATACTTGCCCAGAATATACAAAGGCAGTTATGGCTCCAGTCAAGTTAAGAATTTCTTCAGCTTCCATTGTTTATTAAAATCACACCACCACCACCACACCTCCCTGAGTGCTAAGAAAAAGTGGGAAATTTTTAAATCCCACAGCTCTGAGCCCTGCACCTTGACTCTTTCCTTGACTCTGCCATCGATGAGCAGCCCCACATAGGCCAGCAGCTACACCTCCTCACGGCCCCTCTCCAGGCCGTAGAATACTGTAAAGAGCTGATCGTTTTGCTCCTTCCCCGCCAGGCAAGGCCAGGCTCTCCATCACTGTCAGGGCCCAGCTTGAGGGCATGGTTACAGCAGGCTGGCTGTGCTGGGGGCGGGGGTCCCTGCTGGCGGGAGACACTGGGGGAGGCCAGGGTGAGCGTGGGAGCAGCGCTGCATGTTCTGCTTCAGACTGGAAGCAGAACTTCTCAGCACAACTTCGTACGTCTCATCACATTCTCAGAGCCTGGCCCAGAGGGCGAGGGAAGGCAGTACCTGAAGTCCGCACCCCAGGCCAAGTGACCCTTGTAGAAGAGAAGCTGCCGCATACCTTCCCGCTCTGCACTCCAGGCCAAATGCTCTCAGCCATGGCCACCTTGGCTCCTGGTGAGCAGAATGCTTCAGCATGGACCTCCCAGTCTCCATGGTGCCAGGCCCCAGCTCTCCACCTCCCAGTGCGAGGTGGGGGATGTTAAGCCACTGGCTAGGGTTGCAAGAGGACTCAGGTTTGAGTCACTGGTTGGGGACTGCAGATACCCCACTACAGAGCCTGCAGCCTCCTTCCCTCATCTGCCAAACAAAGATGGCAGTTCTCCATAGCTGCACCCTCACCATCTCGCTTGCCGCCTGCCCCCATTCTCCGATGTGGCCAAGCAACATTTTCTCAGTTTAATGAAAAGTACTAGACAAAAGCAGCTTCAACCCAGCTTTTGGTCCTGTCCTCCACCAGATGGCCACCCCTACCCTCACCAGACCAGCCCGCAGAGAAATTATGGAGCTGCAGCTGGAAAGAGCACCCACCTCACTGGGTGAAGTCCAGAGGGACCTGCAGGTAACATGCTAACTCCTGGCCTGGAATGTGCTAGGTAAGTGCTCCATGACTGTGCCATCACCTGCACCAGGGGCTGCTGGCCACACTGACTTCACCTTGCCACCCAGGAATGGAGCCATCTCCCAAGCCCATGCTCAGGACAACAAGCTGACTTTTACAGCCTCCATCCAACAGAACAGGAAGGAAAACTTCTCACATGCATGCACCATAAAAAATCATCAGAAACAGGCCAGGGACAACAAAACGATCCATGGCCAGACTCTGGATTATCCACTGGCTGGAATGTTTGTCCCCTTTCCTCCCCACCATGAACAGATAATCCAAAGCTATCTGGACCCCAGAGAACCATGGCCATGGGTCCCCATGAGGAGGAGGAGCATACCTGTGTGGGAGGTATGCTCAGCACATGGCTGGAAACTGGCAAATCTCATAACCCCTACCACTCCTGGGCACTTCAAGGAGGCCCTGAGGCTGGCCATCCACTGTGGAATCACAGATCTGCAGATGGGCAGGACACCACTGGTGACACCCCAGCCTCCTGCAGACCAGAAGATGCCTCACTACCTCGGGATGCAGCCAGGGTGCATCCATCACAGCTGCTGCCACGACACTGTGACCCACTCTGTTGCCACCCACCCACCCCCAGTGTCCCCAGCACCCCCAGGACAGCAGCCGGCAGGGAGGGCCTTATCTAAACACTGGCCTGAGAGCTTCCCTAGATCCAGGGCTTAGGATCCAGCAGGGTCGCTCTCCAGAAGGTGGCTCAAGCCTGAGCATATGCACCCCTGCAGCTGCTGGGGGCTTTATACTATCACAATTTTGCTGCAACCTTGAAGCCTGCATCGCCTTCTCATGGAGGGAGGGAGGGAGGGCAAGGGCCTACACAGCCCTTTCACCAGCCTCCTGACCTGCCCAGTATCAATTCCAAGGCCTATCCTAACCTTAAACTCTCCTTCCCAGGATTTGAGCACCCCACTTCCACCATGCTGGCTTCAGACAAGGCCGCTCCTTGGTGGGAGCCCCTGTCACCAAGGATCAGGGCTCATACAGACTAACAGCACCCATGCCTGGACCAACCAGGACCCAGCAGGACCTGCAGATTCTCCAGGTGGCATCCAGACCCCAATGGAATGAGCACCGCACCAGCAATCCAGGAACTTGGGTCCAAGGACTCATTTTCCACTCTTTCTGTCTCATCTAAAAGACCACCTCCTATACTCTGGTTTCTCTTCAGATCATACAAATCTTTCCCCTAAAAGACCACCTCCTAGGGGCTGGGGATTTAGCTCAGCGGCACAATGCCTCCCTGGCGAGCATGAGGTTGTGACCTTGATTCCTGGTACCAGAAAAAAACCAAAAAAAAAAAAGACCACCTCCTAAATTTCAGTTATTTCTGAAAATTTTTCATGATGTTTGCTAAATCTATACTTACTACTTAAAATTTTGTCTCCTGAATTTTTTTCAGTTAAATGAATTTGGCATCATTATAAGTCAGAAATGTCGATAAAGGCGCAAGTTAGATATATAACCATTAGCGTGGTAAGTGTTCACACATACCTGATGCCTAAAACCACATTTTTGGAAATATGAATCCAAAGCAAATCTCTCTTACTGTCTCAGTTTGCACAATTAAAAGGGGAAAAGATTGGACTACAAGACCGGCTGGTGGGTCTTATCGGGCCTTAAGATTCTACAGGACCAGATCAGCTGCAGCTCCCTAGGAACCCAGGGATCAGCATCCTGGGATAAGCCGATACAGGGGTGGGGGACAAGAAAAGGGAGAGGCAGCTTCTACACAGAGAGCCAGGAATCCCAGTGTGATAACAAAGAGACATGAGCTGGAAGTCATGCCCCTTGCTCCACAGTACCCAAGAACCCCAAAAGCCAGTTCCAATCTCAAGCCCCACGGTCAGTTCTAAGTCACAAAGCTTTATAGTTATAAAAACCTCCATCATGCACCTCTTTTTACAGTCTCAGTTTCCACAGGAAACTTGAAATGGCATTGCTAAGAGGAGAAAGAGCTGATGTGGAAAACCCAAGGGTCCAATTGTCACATCACCCCATCACCCCATGATGGTCATGCACCTTAATGGGCTGAGCTTCCCTTGCCACCTCCCCTTGGAGCCATAAGCACAGGTTTGCTGGTCCTGCGAGGACAAAGCAGCTCTTTCCAGGAAGAGAAATCCAGGGATTCTGATTTCGATTGGAGTTTCAGTGTCCTGTTAAAGTGGCTTTTATGCAGTTAGACTGGAATGAGCGTACAGTGGCACCCAGAGCATGGAGCTCTAAGCCCTGTGCAGTGGAGGAAACTGTTGCCCATCGGAATTGTGCCCACAAGAAGAAAACGTGGCCCTTGGGAGGACAAGGGTACATTACTCTCTGTATGCAATAGATTTTATTGGCCATATGGAACTGATATAAAATCATGTTGCATGGGGTAGTCTGGACCTGAGACAGGAATGTGACACGAAGAATATCATTTCCATAACCAGCTGGGTGGCTTTCTGAGTTCCTGGGCCAGGCCCCCCAAGACCTCAACAACTCCCCCAAGGGCCCCTGGGCATTTACCTGCTGCTGTCACGGAGGAATCCCAGGCCAGCGAGAAGTCCGAGGCCTCCCCCTCTTCAACTGAAAAAGAAAAAAGAGATCAGCCTGAGTCTGGAGGCTGCACACATAGGAGGGCATGGAGGTGGGACACAGGGCGGGGCCAATAGAACACTGGTGGGGGTCTTCGGATGAAATAGTGTAATATCTACCCACAAAGGAGAGGTGGTAAAGCCTACCGAAGAGCCCTTGATTGGTTTCACAGAGACCTAAAATGATCAGAATAAGACATGAATGGCAAATAAGTGCTGTGTCAGTTATCGTTTCCTCATCCCTGTGCCCTGGCAGACATCACTAATCAATCACAGCACTGTTTCAAACCACAAAACATCAGAACTGTCTCCACTCAGTGCTACAGTCCATTACTATCTACAGTCAGTTTCTACTCAATATGAGGCCATTTGCCTCTCACAAGAGTAAAGCAAAGACTCAGGATGCTCCGGGATCCTGCAGACATCTTTTATCCAGTGCCAGTACCTCTGAGATACCTAAGACTTCTCCGTTATTCCAAGGAATGAAGAAGCTTGCAGTGGCTGGTGAAGTGCAGTGTTGTAGTCCCCACCCTGAGACAGAACCTACAGAGAGACCTCAGGACATGGTGAGGTCAGCTGCCTGTGGTCCACAGGTTTGAGTCCTATTTCTCATAGGCTGGTGAAAATGGAAAGCAACTTGCTTCCCCCATTTCACCAGAGGCCCTACAGAATGAGGCTGCCCAGGGATGAGACGTCCTTCCACCCCACACCTCAGCACAAGAGACCAAGCCGGTGGAGGTCACGTACTAGCAGACCACAGGAGAAACACTATGCAGCATAATAGTGCTCTTGTCCTGGAATTAGTCCCAGTCTGGGGCATGTAATAATATTAAAGCTGGGTTATGGACTTTGTAAATGGAACTTTGTTTAAGCCAAAAATGTGCACACATGGTATTTTTCAATTTAACAGGCTCTTGCAGCTCTACACATGTGCAGGCTGAAGCGACCACGAGCTGCCCAGTTCTCTGCACTGGCAACACTATAGCTGGCACCACCTAGGCGCTCTGTGAGTGGGCACTGTGCTCAGTGCTTTACAGCCATTCTTCAGCTTAATCCTCAGCACATTCTCAGAGAAGGCGAGGGACACAGTAAGAGCCCATGCAGAGTACAGGCTCCCACCCTGGATCTTTTTCTCCTCCCCCTGTTGCTTCTCAAGCTACTATAAACAAGGGCACCAAGGATGCTGTCCAGAGTCCTAGTACTCAAGACTGGAAAGTGTCAACCTCAACCCACCGGGGCAGCCAACCAGCCCCAAACCATAGCAAGTGAGCTACGGTCAGAACCCAAGATGAACAAATTATCTAACCTCTGAGCTCCTATTTCCCCATCTCAAAAATGGATGTGATGTGGTACCTAGACCACATGCGGTTGGCAAGATTAAGTGGGATGACATGTATACAGCACTGACGCTATACTTGCAAGGGGACCTGCCCCATAAATGTCAGGGTATCATCTGCTGGGTGTTGCCCCAATACTCAGGTAGGTTTGAAAGCATGGTTCAAGCAGTGCTGAAACCGGTTCTTCCTGATTATCTCCCTGATCTTCCTCCCCATGAGAGCCTTGAAGAACATGTCTTTTGAACCCTCAGATATGGCACATGCAAGAGGGAACTTCCACTTCGATGAGGACCAAGTTTGCATTCCTCTCTCTTCCAAATTTGCATCCCAAGAGAAACTCAGAATCAAGACAATGAAATGAAACTACCACTTGGGCAGGGACTAAAGCTATTGTTTTACTCAGCTAGCTACAGCTGGGGTGAGTTTTCAACTATGCAGCTTGGTAAACATCAAATCAGGACCTCATGTCAGAAAAAACTGATACTATTTACTAGGATGATTCCAACCAGAAAACCTGGCTGGGAAGCTAATGGTGAAAGCCATCAGGAGCAAGCCATGCTCAAAAGGAGCACTCCCTGCCACACCTAAAGGTCAGCAGGTCAGCATCTTTCATGTTTCATCATTCACTTACACACACTCACACACGCACGCACGCACACACTCACAGTGCTCTGTGAAGGGACTGCCAACAGTCTCCAAGGTCATCATGCTGCCACCGGGGCATCACTGCACAACACAGTTCTCCCTCTCCCCACTGTGGACCCTGGGCATCAGGACAAACAACCTCCAGCCAGGACCCATCTGAAGCTGTCAGTGAAAAAGTCTGACTTCCTGAGTCACAGACTTGGAGGGGTCCCAGAACGTCAAGCCCATCCCTTGCAGGAATCAGGCCTTGGCCATCATGGGATAGACAATGTGAACACAGCCACCACTTTGGAGCCTTTCCTGAGAGTCAAGGCTTTGTTCTGCAGACCAGGAACTTCAGCCAGGTTGTAGAGAGGGGAAGAAGAGGACAGTGGCCCAAGGCCATCTGGGTGAGGGAGTCAGAGCAATGACCTCCCTGCCGACTTCCTGGGCTCTCCACCCCAAGCTACTGCAGCCCACGCTGCGGTCCCTGACTGAGTCTCTGCATAGCAAGGGCCTATATGCCCATCGCCCAGTGCCTGGGCGTGAATACCTTTTCCCGCACCCACTGGCATCCCCCACTCAACTGCCAGTCATGACCACATTCTGGCTTTTTTTTAAAGTATAAACACACAGCCTTTACAGACTGGATGAGAAGAAACAGACCAACCCCAGCCCACCCCAAGCCCTGTGCCACCTGACACTGTGACAGTGAGGAGGTTTCCCTGCCCCAGTGGGACTCTGTTGTCCAGCCTGGGTCTTCAATGCTAACATGATCAGCAAGGACAGCAGGCACAGGGAAAGGGAGGGCCACCAGGCAGGGGGTGAGGCTCTTTCTGGAGACTTCTTCAGCTTATGAGACTTGACATATACCCTACCCTGCCCAGTCTCAAAGAAAAGAAGCCTCCGCTCCTGCAGGCGATGGGCATTTGTCATTTGTAAAGAGGATGGGTGTCTGAGGCCAGCGTGTGAGCACAGCGCGGGCACCCAGGGGTAAGGGTACGAGGCAGGGGTAACCATGTGGTTGTAAGAGGGCCAGCATGCGAACAAGGCTGCGTCCAGAGAGAGTGTGCCCACATCACAGAGTGTACAGAGAAATGCGGGGGCACGAACCAATGTGTGCACACAGAAAGCAAGAACGTGTACACAAGAGTGTTTCCAGGCCAAGCGTCAGGGCATAGGGAAGGGCACATGACAGACTGACTCACTGTGGCACCCCCTACTGAAGCTCCAGCTCCCAGGCCTATCACAAGCACAGGTCTCCCATGCCACTAGGAGAGACCCCAGAGCTCTCATAGTCCTTTATGTTTTGTGACATTTGCAAAAGTAAGATGTTACCCATTTAAAACCATCTCTTTCTACTCCAAAGTCTCTTCCATCCCATCTGCTCTCCTACTGGTCACCTTGGGGTAGCCAGGTGTTCTTTATCTCAAAAGGACCCAAATTGTTTCAGCTTCTGGCCAGGCAATGCAGTTACAGGGTGGAGCTGGCAGTGGAGTCGGCCTCTAAGTTCTCTATTGGGGCTGGTAGATTTCAGGTACACTCTGTCCAAGTGCAAGTGTGTGTGTGTGTGTGTGTGTGGTGTGTGTGTGTGTGTGTGTGTGTGCAGACTTGTGGGGACACACAATGGCTCTGGACTTGCCCAAAGGCACAAGGCTCAGCAGTGATTGCACCTGCCCATCCTCACCACATCCACCGCCTGCTGTCCACAACTCCACGGCTGGGCTCCCGTCTTGACTCCCTGCTGAGCCCATCCACAGCCTCCAAACCTGCACCATGTTCCACCACCCACAGGTGCTCCTGGCTGCCATCTGCCTGCCTCACCAGGGCTCTGTCTGCCTATCTCACTCACTACCAGGTCCCAGGCCCAGCAAATACATTAGTAGGACCTCAACAAATATCTGAATGAGTGGGCAAACAGGGCCCAGGGTGACAGCCCCAGGAGCCTGCTGGAGGCCTCAGCTGAGCTCTGAACCAGGCAAGGAAAAAGTAGCCATGGACACACACTGTTCCCTCCACACCACCACTGCCCATCCCCTTGCCCTGCAGTCACGGCAGCTCTGTGCTCCAGTCCCACTCCCGGCAGCACCCACACCTGCCTGGCCTTGAGCATAAAACCACTCGCGTCTGGGGGTGGGTGGGTGCTAAACAGAAAACCCTGGCCAGGCAATGCAGTTACAGGGTGGAGCCGGCAGTGGCCCCATCCACACTGTGGGAACTTTCGTCAGTGTGTCACACTTTCCCAGGGCTGAGGGTCACTACAGTGATAGTGGCCTCCTGGGAAGGACTGCTGTCCAGCCAGGGGCTCCAACTCAGACTACACATAACAGGGCCAGAGAGCTGTTCATCCCTGCAGAGCAGGGACAGAGAAGAGCCAGGCCTAGGGAAAAGCTTGATCTTAAATTCCTCTAGCTGTTGTGAAGTCGATCACTCAGCTACCCACCCCCCAAGTCAAGGGTGCTGAAGAAAACCCTTCAAGATGGGCGTGGTGGCAAATAACCCAGCTACTTGGGAGGCTGAGGCAGGAGGATCATGAATTCAACATTAGTCTGAGCAACACAGTAAAACCCTGTCTAAAACAAAACAAAACAGAAAGACCCTGGAGCATGTAAAGAAAGATCCTGAGGCTCTGTCAGGGCTTCAGATAGATCAGAACCTTACCTTCTCTCAGGCCTGGGATCACAAGCTGTGGGTGGCTGTTGCAGCCATGGGAGTTACGTGAGCTCTACCAACCGTATCTCCCCAACTCAACACCACTTACCTAAGTGGCCAGAGCTCTCTCCCTTTGGGAGTGGGATGGGCCTTGCCACCCCCAGAGACCCAGGCCTTAAGTGCCAGGTTGTGGGCTGCAGGTATCTGTCGGCACTGAGCAAGGTGTTAGAGGGACAAGCACTGTGCCCTCTATACCACTGTCCCCTCATGAGCACATGAGACAGTGCTCTTGCTGTAGCCAGGAGAGCACAGCCCCCTTCCAGGGAGCCCAGGGAGCCAGGGGGCTCCCCAGCACCTCAAGAGACAGAAGAAATGGAGC